ACATCACTGAAGGTATCCCACACACGCACATGTATATACCCAAGTTATAAAATTGTTAATTATATACATATATATATAGCACACTTCAAAACTGGGATGTTGTTCATATATCATACATAATTATACATATATATATGGGTAAATTAACATATTTCACTGATCTGAAATAGTGCTATTTTGGGATAGTTACATAGTTACCCGTACTAACCATGATTCCAGTGAGGTCGGTGTGAGGTCGTCAGAATTTGCCCATATATATATATATACATATGCACACATTATAATATGTATATATATAATATATAATATATATATATATATATTTATATTTAGCATATTCATCATCCGTACTTTCCCATGATGTTCCCGGATTGTTGCTGACCCCCATAGTTTTCGCACATGCCAGGTTTCATCACACCCTCCCAACCGTGGATGTCCCAAGCGCATTCGCGTCCAGCCAAGGCATGATATGGTCCCGGGGGTGACCTGGGGGTGGGATTCCATTCCACAATATAGACTATGATGTGGGGATAAAATGAACCATTAATGCGGGATAGAATGGGGCACATCATGGAAATGAACCACTACTTATGTGAATCGATGGATATATTTCAAGGAACAGTTCTACTGGAAACCATTGTTTTTTCCAAGATTTTGAGGTGTTGGTTCCTTCATCCAAGTCTGAGAGACAGGAGGACCTACGAAAACTGGTTCGTTTTTTGGTGTCCTCGGCATCAACATACCAGTGATATTAGTATGATACCATATGTACCTACGAACCTGTGTCATCTTCAATTCATCTCAAAAAAGAAGGTATGATAATAAATTATATGTTTCTTCTGCATGTGCACATATATATAATGGTTCTTTCATGTTCTTTCTTTCTTTATTTCTTTATTCTTTACTATTTATATATATATATATACATATGCGTGTGTCATATATATTAAACGATATATGATATATATATATATATATGTATGTATGATATGTGATATGTGATATTTGGATATATTTGGTGTGTAATAGTCCTGTGAGCCATTTAGGGAATCCTTAGCGAATAGATGTGGTTTCGGTGCCCATGGCATCGTCACCCAGCTGGCTACCGTGCTTCCCATAGAGGTCCCTTCGGTCGCTCACATCGTAGACCTGACCCGGAAAAAATAGCGGGAAATCATGTATATATATACAAAGATTAGTATAGTAAGGATATACATGGATATATTACTATATGATATATTACATGGATATGTTATCTTTATATATTATTATCTATGCATATATATAAAGAACTATGATAATTACATGGATGCATCATATATATATATATAACTCCCTGATTTCCCATACATGATATATGGAGTTCCCCTCAGATCTCAGTTTTTTTTTTCGCAATTCCCCTATTGGAGGACTTTTTGTCACCAAGAAATGAGCAAACTAATCGCAATAGTATGTGGAAGGCACCAAACATTTTATCAACGCAAGTTGCCAGATTTCGTTGAAAGGAATTTTGTAAATCATCTGAGATGTTCGGCAACTGTGTTTTCCATGGAGTAAATATGTGTTTTCCATGGGGTAAAGATGTTTGCCAAAGTCGGCCCCAATGGCCCAGAGGTGGTGTTCCCGGGGAGCCATGAACAGCCAACAGCGGTCCTCACGATTGACCATGATTGTTCATCAAATTTAAGGGTACCCAGGGTACCCTATTTTCAAGCAAATGACTGGTGCCCATATCTTCATGTTAATGACTGGATAGCCTCTGGTAAACGTTCACATAACGATGGAAAGATCCACAACTTTTAATGGGCAAAACAACTATAAATGGCAATTTTCAATAGCTTTTTGTATGTTTGCCAGAGGGTAATTTGTGGTGAAGTTTTCTGGAGCGAAAAAAACAAAGCCGTTCCCCACAACCAACATCCTGTCGGTCATGATGCTGCAGGCACTGCAGGCTGCTCAGTCTTAGTGTTTGGACCACACATTCCTCCAGGACCCGCCCCTTCAAATGTGCAAGGACAAACTGAGGTTCCATAATCAGGGATAGACAAGACGATACATCCACGGATAAGCAATGCATTTTTGGTGGTCAGAAACCAATCGAGTCACCCCCGCCGGGGTGGTGAAATGTTCAATCTAGACATGACCCAACAGATCAATGATGTATCCAGGTGCCTCTCATCATGGCACTTACCAACCCCTGCTTCACCAGTACACGGCCAGTTCTCCAAGTTGGGAATGTTTTGCTAAGTACCTTCTTAAACATTACCAGCTAAGGAATCACCTCAATCTCCCAGAAAAAAAACATCGGCGTAGATCGCGACCGCGATCGCCATGTTCACTTGCCGGAGCTAAGTGAACCTCCGGGGTTTTTAACATGGTCAGTTTGGTAAGTTTCTAAGTCCACCCCGAGCCCCGCCCCGCCGACCTTGCCATCAAAGCTGATGTAGATCTCCCCTCCGTTTTCACCATCGAAGCGCGCCAGTGTTTCAGGGGTCATCCCATCCATGGCTAATCTCACAGTGTGAACCCGAGATTCTCGTCATTCCACGCAAGTTGCTTCATAGTGATTTCCACTTGATGCAGCATTTGAACTCTGAGCATGCATAATACATCATTACTTATAGATATATATATATATATTTAATTGTATATATATATATACATATGCATAATATAGGGGTCAAGCAGCAGGAGCTTTAAGAACAGTGCGCAAATATCGAGATCATCTATGGATCCAAATGCTTCCCAACTAGCTACTTAGAGCAAGAACTGGTAAGTACATGAAAATGGTTTGGGCATGGTTACATATGGTTACATCCCATTCTTATTCACAATAGAACCTCATTTTGTGAAAGCATTATCGACTACAGTAACATCAGTTGTTTATTTCGCAGCAGTTTTGATGTTTGTGAAATCCAGGGGCTCAAGGCCAGGTTGTCTGCCGGCCAGTCGACTGGTGTGTACCAAAGCACAAGTCCCCTATGGAAACCCTCCTTGGAAGATGGAAACTTGAGCGGACTCCGGGACACAGCATGGGAAATGTGTCATCGCATGTCGCCAAAGCGTTCTTGAAAGGTAGAAACCTGTAGCAACCAAAGTCTTTTCCCATTATCCACCGACCCCTGCCTAGCCTTGGCCCAGGCATCTGAATTGGGAGGAAGCCCCACAACCAGTGCCCATATTGACCCATATCAGTCCATATCATGCACTGCTAATCATCAGAAAGAAAGCTTCGGACTCAAACTTTGTGCCCGCCATGAGTGAAAGCATCCTTCCAACTTTCAACTTCAAGTTGTGGAGTCCAAGTCAATCGCAGGCAGCTACGCCATTGTTCCACTGGCTATGCGCAAGGGTCAAAGTCTGAGACCCCACTCGCCCAAACCCTAAGTTTTTTTGCCCACTTGAGGTCGTTAATCCACGTTAATCCCACTTTTTTGGGGCTAACTATGGGCTAACTGTTAACTAAATCTGGCTTGACCATGCTCGATATGAAAAAAACTGGGATGGTCGAAAGCCCTCCATCCAGCCCCTTTTTTCCACGTCCACGTCGTGCAGCAGGTACCAGCAGGTTTCGCTCACACCTGCGTGGCCGAAAGGTTTTGCTCCATAGGATTCACCAAGCCCCTCCACCAGGGACGATCCTAAGCATGATGACTGGGCACCAATTTTACTGAAGCTTTTCCAATGGAAGTGGAAAGCAACCTGAGTTACCCCCTAGATGATGTTCTAGTTATTCTAGTTGAACCTGTTTATCTTTGGCGTGTTTCCACTAGTTCTCATAGACTAGCTCGGGCGGCGCAGCGAAGACTGTTTATCCTTGATGAATGGCTCAACTGGCAGGACCTTCTGCCAGTCGATGCATCGGATCGGATCTTTGACCGGATCCTCCGTCGCAGGAAACATCGGGAAACACGAATCAAACGCCTTCGGATTCGCCAAAATTTGTCGGCGGCTTGCAGTCCATGGATGGTTTAGGACAAATCAATCAGGGTTTGCACCTTCCATCATTCATTGTATCATTTTGCATTAATATCCGCAATTTTCCAAACATTCTCCATTCATATATCTTATTTTCAATTTTGTTTTTGATTTACTCAGCTGCTGGCGCTAGCAACATCATGGCTCCGAGTCATTTTAAGGGAACTAGCCCTTTGTTAAAATCTGTGAATATGTAGTACTGAAATAGCATGTGAAATAACATTTTCTAATCCTGTTCTAACTGGATATCTCTAATGAATTAACTGGATATCCCTAATGAATCACATATATATACATATATACATATTATACTACTGAATAATATTTACTTGGATAGCAAACTCAATGATACCCCCATCAAGTCGTACTACAGTGGATTGTCTACAGCCGCACCTGCCACTGGGAATAGTACTCAAATATTATATAATATTACGATATATACTAGATTAACACTACATTACACATCATTACACGACAATAGGCGGTGAACATGTATATATATATATACCTGCAGCCTCTTGTGGCTGCTTTTTTTCTGCCTCTAATGGAATTTTTGCTTTCTGGATTTAGATGTAATTCCTGCAAATTAGCGGCAACTTCATGCAAATCCTGGATTGCTCAAGGTATGGGACCTTGCACTGGACAATGGATGGTGAATGGATACGATTTTGGGGGGCCAATCATGGCCCAATGTGAAAAATCAATGTTTGTGACATCCCAAAAAAAAGTGTGAGGTTAACCCAATCCAACCACAAGTTGAATTCAATGAAGTACCCAGCTCCAATCCCATCTTGTTCTCTCGGCTTTTCTTGCCACAGCGATATGTCGACCATGCTTGTGGTCTGCTGGCTTTCCTGGCCACGGTGCGCTCTGCATGTTTGCTGCTAACGGGGTCCAGGTCATGTGGCATTTTGGGATCACTCGGCATGCACACATGCAACACACATTGTATTTATTCTAGCTATAGCCATCTTGGGTGTGAAGCTTAGCATAGCTTAGGCTTAAAAGGTGACTTTTCTGCCATGTCGGGCAGCGGGGTCAAGAAGGAGGTGAAGGAAGAGTCGGCTGTGGCTACAATAGCCCCCAAACCATCCCCCAAACGAGCCAAAATTTGTGATTTTGGTTTGGCGGAGAAGTGGGATGACACCAAGTCTTGCCGAGAACTACTACGTGAAAATGGGAAACTTATTCGGTGGCTTAGTGAGGAGCAGGTCAATGTATTCAATTTGGAGACTTTGGGGCTGAACTCCCGATTGATGTGCACAGTTGTGGACTACCACTGTTCTCGGACAACTGTTGTGAAAGCTCCCCCCATCGATTTCTTGAAAGCCCAGGTCAGGGTTCTTGACAAAAAGGGTTGGCCCAATAATATCTAATAAGTCCAAGGTTAATATTAAAGGATTATGGAGTTTAATTTTCTAAGATGTGATAATTGCAATGCATACCACCTACCTCGGGTTATGCCCTTGTGCCCTGTCAGGTATGGAAGTTCCAGACTCTCATGTCCAAGCCCCTGGATCCAGTTGGAATCCACCACGATGCATGGGGAATCAAGAAACTGTTTTCCTATTCTTTGAGAAGGACTGGAAGTGACAGCCGCTACTCTTTGGATGATGGCAGTCCCAATCGCCGAGTTCCTTTGCTGTTTATTCACGGATGGGGGTTAATCATGTTGAAACTGTTTTGTGGGTATGGCATGTGTTTTCTTTTGGGTGGGTGTCAAGGGCCTTTCCTACCACCATCTTCCCCATTTTTTGCCTAAGGCTGCTGGTGTTTCAGAGTACTACGAGATCATGTACAAGTATTGGGAAGCTCCTCTGAAAGCCCTTCAAGACCAACATCGGGAAAAGGCCAAGGCGAAGGGTATCAAGGAGGTTGAAGTGATTCCGGATGATGATGATGGTGACTTGGAAACTCTTGAATCCATCTCCCTGCAGCAAGCGCGACGGGGAATTGTGATTGAGGGAGTGATTGTGATCGAGGATGGTGGTGATGTTGGTGCGAAGCTGGGTGGGAATCCGAAGAACAACAATGAAGAAATGAAGTCTGGGGCAAGTGGGGAAAGTGTGGTGGAGAAGCCAAAGCCCTTGGGAGGGGTTGAGGTTTCTGAGACGCCGCCCGCTGCACGAACCAGAAGCCCTAAAATCCCTCTCAACATCGATGACGTGTTGAACCCGCCTGGTTTGCCGCATCTTGGACCCTATGACCTTCCTGGGAAACCGAACGCGTTAAGGGCCCCGAGTCAAGCTGGTGCATGTGAGGCACGGATCCAAGCTCTTCAGTAACTCAGCTTTGCCAATCTGTTTGAAATTTAGTTTTGTGCCCCGAAAATGTTCCAAGTAAAATGGAGATGTATATATACTTTTATAGTTGTAATATACTATAGTTGCATGTTTAAACTTTTCATTCCTAGGGGCTGCCCTAGGCAAGCTTTGCAGAAGAAGCGAGAGGCCAACAACCGTGCTTTGCAGAGATCAGCTTCAGCATGTGCCCTACCTGATCCAAGCATTCAGCAGACCCTTGACTATGATCCTGAAGCAGCCTTTGCGGAGTTTACCGCCTCCCAGCCTGAACCTGTCGATACCCCATCCCCATCAGACCCTGACTTTGTTTACAAGACTGAGAATTCCTATTGGAAGGTGGAGCGGGATCAGGAAGAGCGCCTTCATCGCCTTGAGAAGCTGCAATCGACAGGATCTACATCTCTGGACTCAGAGAGTGATGACATGGTAGTTCCACCTGACCAGCGCACAACACCTGCCGCACCTCAGAACAATGGCCAGGACCTTGAACCGCCCAAACTTTCCAACTTCGTCAAGTCCGATCCCATCGACGCCAAGTCCAATCCCAGTGATGCCCACATGAAGGAGGAGACTACGGTTCCCGAGAGCAACCACATCCAGCCCGGGGATGGTACGATCACTGAGCCCAATGGTGTTGGGATCGCTGAGCCCAAGGATGTGGAGATGGTTAAGCCCAAGGATGTGGAGGTTGTTGAGCCCAAGGATGTTGAGGTTTCTGAGCCCGAGGGTGGTGGTGGGATCAATGAGGCGGGGCAGGTTGTTGAACCAATGGGTGAAAATGATGACATGGAGATTGTGGAGCGCAAGGCCGAGATCCCCGAGGAAAACACTGTGATTGTCGATGATGAATGTGAGATGACAGTTCCGCCCAAAGACCCCTTGATGAAAACGCATCCTACAAACCCCCAGACCATGGCAGTGACTCAGGACACTGTTGTCTCGTTGCTTGAAGAGATGCTCAAGGATGGCATGGATCTTAGCCAGGCCATTGCCCAGTTGAAGAATGGAAATTCAGAGAGCATGGAGCCCGGAGATGAGACAGCCCCAGTAGTCACCCGCATTGACCAGTTCAAGGGCAAGTCAGCAGTAGCAGCCTCTGAACCTGGCAATGGAGAGGGTGAACCGTCATTGCCCGATGCCCCCGAGCCCAAACGCAAGGGAAAAGGCAAGGGGAAAGGCAAGGGAAAACCCAAGGCGAAAGCCAGTCCCAAGAAAAAAGCATCAGCAAAGGCAAAGGCAGCTGGGAAGAAGCCAGGCAGACGTCCCCGGGTCAAGAAGAATGGCAAGGAAACTGAGGAAGATGATCTGGAGGAACAGAACGCTGAATCAGAGGTTGAAGATGACTCCAAGGATGACTCGAAGGATGACTCCAAGGATAACTCCAAGAATGGCTCCAAACCTCCCCCGACCGGAAAGGTTGAAAAGCCTCGCAAGACCAAGAGACCTGCAGAGCCCATGGACGAGGAGGACAAGAACAAGTCCCCAAAGAATGAGACGAAGAGCTTTGCTCGCAGACCTTGCCCCGCAACATCCCCTGCCAAGGACAAGTGGTTCGCAATCAGCAATGCCTTCCGCAGTGAGGCCCAGCAGAGGATCTTGGATTCCGGGGACACACCGTCAAAGTGGGAGGACTGGTCAAGGGATGTCAAGGGGTGGGGGGGGCCTGGGGTGTAGTTGGTTGATATATATTATATACCATAAGTTTACTATAGATCGATCAATACCATTTTCTTGAAAAGTCAATCGTTCAAGTGGTTGTCTTCCTTTCCCATTTGTGTTCCCCCTCACAGTTTCAATATATCCATGCAGGAGCCTTTTTGGAACATGGTCCAGAAAGCCTACAAGAATCACGAGGGGAAAGGCGATGGCCCTTTGGAGATCAAGGAGTATGGGAGGATCGCATCCAGCTGCGTCCAGAACTTGCTTTCGCTGGTGGGTTAGATCGGTTACCTGCAGCTTTGCAGTGACACACTATTGCAAAATTTTTCTGTTGGCTTTTTAGACTCAGCTTCTTAGTCCACACGCATTGGCAATGATAATGCATATAAGAATGAATCAGTTTTATTTGGCCATTGGTTGAAACAATGTTCAAAATAAACTTCGTAGCTTTATGTTTTTCATTTTTCCATTGTGCTGGCCTTTGCAAGTGGTGAAGCTGCCTGATGCCTCCAGTGTCTTTAGCTTTGCACTGGACAATCCATGTTTCGAGCGTGAACCATGTGTGAGAATGCACACGTGTGATCATGCGTGGGTGTTGCCAGCTCCTGTCGGAGCTATTCACTATCTGTGGTAGTGCTTCAAATCTGGTATATCTGATTGGCTACGCGTGTGACAGAAACATTGTACCTGAATAGACCTTGTTTCTCCAGGGCTTCCATTCTTTCTGCATGATTCAGTTTTAAATCATAGGCAGTTATCATCCTTCTTGGAATTTTGATGGGGAACGATCCCACACCCAGTCTCACTCCATACCCCGCCTCTCAGCACATTGAACCGATGCTATTACTGCAGTTCACTGGCCTGCCAGGTGCTATGTACGGATTGAAGAGAGGCCAAGTTAACCTTGCGAAGCTTGGCTTGGGGGCCAACTACTCTGCTCCAAGTAAGCCTGGCTTGTGTTGGCAGCTTAATTTACAATGCCAATTGGATGCCAACGTCTTGAACATGTTGATCCTATACCATTACTTTGGGTTACAGTAATCAAACAACCATGTGTTGTAATGAAGCTTCGGTTTTGGAAAACAAATGAATCACAAGTAGGGGTTCCCATGAACCACAAATACGGGTTCAGCTTGGGGCAGTCCTATTTTGAGACATCCACACATGGATTGGATTAACACACCCATGCACACACACACACCAAGCTGTCGTGGACTTGACAGATCTTCATGAGGGGTTAGCTGAACGACCTCCAACCTGCAGCCAACTTGGTCCATATATGTGACTAGTCCGTATCCAGCAATGAGCCCTGCTGAGCAAGACATCTTTTTCAAACGCATGTTTGCGTTGGGCATCCCAAAAGATTCTTGGCTGATAATATTCCCCTTTGAGAAAAACATATGGAATACATAAACTGAACAACATGTCCTCCCATGGTAGTCTACGGTAACAAGATGTGTGCAAGCCCAATCTTGTAGCATGCTCTCAACACCCTGGTCTGTCCAACCCTCGCTGCCTTCAGGTGGTCATCTTTCTGGTCCTCCTGGTCGCATGGATGGAGGACCCCGACAACATCACCATCAAGAAGGACATCGAAGTTATCGAGTACTTTGCAGGAGTTGGCCGTATTGCGCAGGTGGCAAATTACGCGGGATACTGCGCGGTGGGCTTTGATATGTTGGATGGGGTTTCAAAAGCAAAACAAACTGGTAGAAGGAACCCCTTGGATCTGAACTCCAATGCTGGTTTGGTTTTGGCTATCAAATTGGTTTTGAGATCCCGGTTCAATGCCTGCGTGGCCTTCTTTGCCATTCTCTGCTCTTCATTTGTACCTGTCAATCGGGGTACTGGATCCAGAGATTTGCTTGTCCCAGAAGGTGATGAAAATGTAGTATCAGTCCGAAAGTCAAACAAACTCCTATCTCGGAATCTTGGATGAGCTAAGAGAATTTCAAAAAATAAGCCCCTTATTGATATCAATGGGGTGTGTTGTCCTTTAGTGGGTTTTCATGACCATTTATCATTTAGCCATCCCTAGCCCGATACCAATCCTGCTCACAATGCTCAGGACATGCCTCTTGATGGTGCTGATCATATGTGCTGGTGGCACTTTTGGCATGGAGAACCCGGCCAATTCATTGGTTGCGCTCCAGGGCAGGTTTGTTTGGCTCGTGAAACTACTTGAGAAGTTTGGCATTTGGGACGCTTGTTTCATTTTAATAATGGATGGTGACCATCGCAACTTACAATTTACAATCCCATCATTGCTTGACTGGATTTGATTGACATTACCATGTAACAAATAGCAATGTAGAATTTCCTGTTGCCTTCAACCATTGACTACAGCAATGATTGCTAGGATTTGCTAGTGCTTGGTATTGTGATTGGGGTTCAGTCTTTTGGCACAATGTCATAATCGGGTCAAACATCTTTAAAACCAATGACCATAAGCAACCTTATGATTTCAGACAGGGTATAATCGATCTAAGGTGTTCAAAACTAGCTTCTGGATGCGGAAGCACTTGGCAGCCACATGGAAGCGCACCTGGGTATGGAGCACGTTGGAACGCATCCAAGCTCTTGACCTGGGCCGGCTGCTCCCAACGGAAAGGAAAACCACTGTCAAGACTACTGTAAGAAAGCGTGATAAAGATGGAAATATGAAGTGGCAGGGATCAAGAGCCCTGAAAGGAACCCAGCACTTTGACGGCATATAATGTAACAAATAAATTGCATTTCTGATTTTCTTTATTGGGTTATATATTTACTGATGGTTCAATCTCAAAGCGATTTAAATGGGCCGCTGCAGGCAATATACATATCGATTTGCCCGCCATGTGGTGGAACTCTTCCCTGGTTTTATTGCAGACCAACCTTTCATGAAGCTTCCCCCTGCATCTAGTATGCACATGGCACTTTTGTTTTTGACCCTGGTATACCCTGGTACTGGTATTTGATAAAGGGAACTGGTTCACATTCCTACCATTGACAAGACATAACCTGCAGATCAACCATCCCCAGGTCTCGGAGAAGACGGTCCTGGAATTGTTTCAAGAAGCTCGTTTTGAGGAGCTTTGGGATGAATGTAGCGATTTGAAAGATGTGATCATTTATTGCCGGGGAAGCAAAAGGCTGCGGATCCCTGAATCTTGGCGATCCGCACTCCCAACGGAACTCTAACCCTTGGGTCTCCTCACTGTGGTGGGTGAAAGCTGGTGGGGACTGGTGGATGGGAAACTTTGGGCCTTTCAACTCAAGGATAAAATCCATGTTTTTTGCTATGTAGTGGAGCTGGTGGGCCCTTCTTTTTATATGTATATACTGATGGGAATGGTTCTAACATCCAAAGGTTGAATCCAGTTTTTAAGATCAACTTCATGAAATCCCTGAGTAACGAATTCAATTGCCAACGTGCAGAATTCATGAAATATGTGAACAATATTTTTGGGCAGTTTTGTGATCCATGAACTGTTCATTTTAAAACTTTGTTCATGGAGTTCATGAAGTGTTCATGGATTTCTTAAGTATTCATGGGTTTCATGAAGCGTTCATGGATTTCTTAAGTATTCATGGATTTCATGATGTGTATGGATTTCATGAAGTGTTCATGGACTCATGGATTTCATGAAGTGTTGGATTTCATGAAGTGCTCATAGATTTCTATTACATCACACAATTCATAAAATATATAATATTAATATTTTTTGTGTTATTCATGAAATCCATGAATAATCAGTTAACATCAGTAACATCCAAAAATTCATGAAATTCATGATTTTTTAGCGGCAGGAATTCCCAGGTTTGCGGCGGGAATACCTGGGTTTGCGGCAGCTTTTCCCGGGAGCCCATTTTGGCCTAGTATTTTACCCAATGTTTGGCATGTCACTGCCATCAAGAACGTTTAGTTCACAAAGCCTCATGGATGGTGAAGCTTTGATTAGTTCCCAAGACCTTGGGAGCATGACGGAAATTGAGATGCTAGCTGAACTCAAACAGCTAGAGGACTGGGGTCTATGACATACATAGAAAGTTGGATATATAATATTCAATATTCAAGTTTTACTGGGTGTATGGGATATGAAGAATGAAGGGAATGTCTCAAAATAGAGGATCCTGACACTTTTATATCAATTAAAAAATAAAGTTTTGGGATCCCCTATTTTGAGACATTCCCATATAGGGGGCCAGTGCCCTGCCAGGATCTTAAGCGACAGGTTGAGGCTCAACGGCCAGTTGCTGCACCCCTTCGTGGAAATGATGTGACAGTGCCTGCTCCCGATGATCTTCATGAGCCTTGGCTTTGATTTGGGGATGTGATTCCTGGTTAAGATGAATACTGTAATGCATAGCTTTGGACTGAGGTAAGCATCATGAGCTGTATGAAATTCAACATACAATTCTGTTTCCCTTATCCTTTATAATAGATTGCATTGCGACTTGGGGTGTCATCATGGTATTCAACAGTTGCCACAAGACAACACTTTTTTCAATGTCCCCACTCTTGACTATTCATGGTCATTCGTTGGTTTCTAGCTTAGGAGCATGTGGATTCTGACCCTTATCTTCATGACCAAGAACCTGATCCCTCCACCACCATTGCCCGGCAGCTCTCCTTTGCAGCTGCGATGGAACCTCCGGAAACTCCTGCACGTGAGCTGGTTGACATCCCGACCGTTGTGGCTGGATTGTCCCGATCAGCAGCTAAAAAACGGGTTGGGAGATTGATGCAACGGAAGGCAGATGGAACTTTCAAGGTCCCATCAGAGCTTGCTGATGCTTGGGCCAGTGGTGACCAAGATTCAATGGTGACAGAGTTCATCGATGCTGGTTTGGACAAGGATACCTTAGATATGGGGTGATTTTTTCATTTTTTTCTCTAAAGAAAATCTTAATGGTTATTAGAGGTGATAAATACGTTCTAATTCAATAAGGGTGTTCCCATGGCATTCCTTGTATTTTTTGTCTTTACGTACTGGTGAAAATTTCTGGCATTCAATTTGCAGGAAGTCTTCATCAAACGGAGCCTTCGGCGAATCAGGGAAAAGACAAAAGAGAAGGAACTTTGGGTTGATGGAAAGTTCATTTCAGAAGACCATATGAGAGATGAACTCAAGCTCAAAGAGTTACTTGGTGCACAACACGCAAGTTACCACTCGCAATTTTTCAATGCGGATCAGATCCAATATGTCGACAAACCAACAACATCGTTTTGAACACACTCAAACCATCCTCTCAGGTCCAGAATCAAGCGCATCAAGGAGATTTGTCAGAAGAAAAAGGGTTGGATTCGGTATCTTGGCTGGCTCTTTAAATAGGGTTGAATCGGCTATTTAAGGACCCACCAGTTTTCTCTGAAGCATGCGTTGTGTAAGTTGATGGTACATGTAATATATATTGTATGAGGGCAAAAAGCAACACGGTAACTCATCAATATTCTTTGGAGTGAAGTGTCGTTTTCTGAACAGCACTTTGAAATTGATTGTTTATTCCAACAGGATACTGTACATGTATGGGCTGTATGGGTTCCATCTTGTGGGGATTGTTGGAAATCTCATGTTATAGCATGATGGCCTCATCCATCAACTAATGCCAATGTGGTGTAAGGATAATCCACGGAATATTTTCCAGGCACAGACCATTCGGTCCTGCCCAGGCGTGACCAATATGAGAAGAATGTGAAGCTCTACTGGTATGAGGGCAACATCAGCGGGCGAAAGCTGAATCTCGGCAATACAAGGGCCAGTTAGTTCTGACAAGCCCAAGTAACGAATGGTTTCTTTGAATGGTTTGTCAATTCCCACAAGACTAAAACAACCCAATCCCTTCCAAGATGCGCCTGAAGGGGTGATAGCAGCTGCCTGTCCAGTGGCTTTGGGACTTTGTCGGAGGATACTGCTACGCAGGATGTTCATAGTAAAGATGGTATTTGTTGTAACAACCTGTGATAACATGGATAGTTTAAGTCTGAAATATGCCCAAAGAAAACCCAAGAAACATGTTGTTGACTGGTGCTCACCTGCTTCTGACTAAGGAAGCGCAAACGCGACACCGTGATTGGGGAGGGTTCATCTGACGTGGATGATGCTGATCTTGAAGATAGTGATATGGAATTGGATGATGAGTTCAATCACAAAGAGATTCAGATGGACGCAGGCTATGTGTTGAATACTAAAACTTTTTTATAATGTGGTCAATGTTCACCTGTGAAACATCTATAGACAATCATCCTCATGAGTGTTCTGCAATGGGCTGGTTATAAACTGGTGACCCTGCTAGATGATGAAGCAGTTAGCGAAAGAGCGGAGGACAAGCTCACGGAAGCGCAGGCTTTGAAACAAATCACCTTTCCAGAAATGGATGATGATGGACTCCCAAGTTCGTACATAGCAAAGGTTTTGACATGTTTGGGCAAGTGGCAAGTGAAGATGGGTGATCTCAGTATGAAATTGAGTTCCGGTGGACATCGTTCGTTGAAACCGCCACTAGGCCTATAAAATGCATTTTATATTTTACCTTAGTTCCCAAGGTTGTTGAAGTTTTCCCAACCCATGGGCTCCACTTTAAGCCCGCCAGCCACTCTCGCACCTGAGGTTGGCTGACAAAACCAGTGAGCGAGACAAGAGCCTTGCGGAGTGCACGGAGAAGCTCGCTGAGTTGAACACCCATGGCATTTGTCATGGCTTTACAGCAAAGCACTTTGCCTGGAATATTTTTTTTACTGGGATGAGATGGTGTTCTTTAAAGAAGTCTATACCAACTCTTTAAGCACACTACTTGCCCCCCGCGGCTGAGGCACCAATCAGAGTTGAAAACCATCTTTCATCAGTCCAAGGCAGAGTGCTTTGGTTGCATCTTTGGCGTGGGATCTTACCATCAAAATTTACATGCATCATCATGCATCATCATGCATGGTAATTTGTCGGTGGTATTGCATCCAATTGCTGCGACTACTTGATTTTCCCAAGTTTGCAGTTTACACTCAGAACTTCAATCCTTCTCCCAGGTGCAGGGAAGCTCTCTGCCTGCAGAGCCGTGCCGTGCTGCTCGGAAGCTGTGAGTGCCTGCAAGGGTCTAGAAGCCGAAACCATTGGATTTCAGTCTTGATTACCAAACCATTCCAACTTAAATGGGTAGAGTATATTGGGATTTCAACCCTGAACGCCAAACCCTTCCAGCCTAAATGGGTGGCCCAAAAACATTCCAATTTAGATGATAGGTTTCACAGGGAAGACTCACAACATATAACAAACATTTCTTGGGATGGAAATGATTGGCCCCACAAGAATGGATATAGGGGTATGTCTCAAAATTATTCACCCCGATTGGTAATTGTCCATCACGATCTATATGCATTACAATACCCTTGATATTATAATCCTCATATTTTAAGCATACTGTTCTGTTATAGCTGCCAATGGTGCACAATAACCATCATGGCCCTAGCGGTTCACGACAATCTTAATATAGCCATAGGATAAACCATGATACCATATATCACTAAACTTTACTATGGAAATCTCTCGTATACTTGATATCTTATGCCTAACTATTCAGGTATATATTTCAAAAAGGGGGATTAACTCACCAATTTACAAAGCAAACGGCTGAAAGCCGCTGATCGGATTTATGTTAGTGACAGTGCAACTACCTGGGCAAGCGGGCTTTGCTCACAATGCTCCGTCCGAGGCCGTTCCTGAAGCACATCAACCAGCAGCGCAAGAGGGTAAAGCAAGAACAGTGAGATGTCATGGCAATGCAAGGTCAAAGCCATAGATCTTTATGGATCTCAAGTTGGATTTGAATTGCCATCTTAGTCTTGGCACTGAAAATTTGAAATGGCTTCTTGTGGTTTCCAACAAAATCCCGATATACTCAGAAACTGAATAGTTCAAAATGGCTTTGCAAAATTTGTCTTTTAGCCAAAGCGTGTGCCTTGGGGTCGGCTCTGAGATTTAAACCAGGGCCTTGACATATGGCTGGATCACGCTTGAACTTTAGAAGGATTACGTGGTGCTTTCCTCAAAGCCCACCTTTCACAGATTCCATCGCTAGAGCTCAAGGGGAAGAAATGGTCTTTGCTGTTTTCGGCTAAAACCACCAAAATATTGATCATTTTACGCCAATAGTTGACTTACCATAGAAGAAACTATAGCTATGAAGCGAAGTGGGCTAAATCCCCTGCATCGATCATTGTGTTTCATTAATGGTATAATAACTATGGAACCCTGCATCATGAAAAACGATCATTATATTATGTTAGTCACTGTTAGTCGTTTTATTATTCACCAGGCCTGATGTACCGATGCGAAACTATGATCAAACATACAGCTGGATTCTGCTCTAACATACTTGTTCCTCCAAATTGGTGCAACCACACAGATCGATATTAGTTTGTCTATCTAGTCTAGGATCCCGTGCAGAGCGAACATCCTTTCACTCCCAACACCTGGTCGGGAAAGCGTGACTGGCCAGGTTCAAAAGAAGCGGGTCCTCTCCTACAGCATGCAGTTTCAGTGGTTGCTGATGGTGTTTCTCGGCGATACTTGACCCTCGAACCACTACAGTGCAGTAATTATAGATGCTGTGGGGTCATGATCTCCGCCGATGTCCATTCAATGAGGCTCCAGCCAGAACAGTAGCTGACCAAACGGCTGCTGTGGTGGCACAGCACGGCAAAGCCTGCGCCAAGAGCACAATGGATACCAGTGGCGTGAGCCAAAAAAACGTAACTTGTGAAGCACTGGTTCATATATTATATGTTATAGATCGATATATCACATATATAGTATATAATAATTTATATAATATAACATATAATATTATAATTAACATATAATTATAACATATAATATTATATAATATATAATATATATTCTGTTATATCTATTTTTTGATAAACCTTCTCACTATATGACTCGCAGTCGTGACTGCGTGTGACTGCATTTGGTGAGTTGGATCTATCAGTTTCTGTATATACAACAATTCTATTCAGAAAGGTAAGACAAAAGGGTGCTGTAGCTCCAATATCTGAGGCAAAACGTTTCTATGACCGAGTGGTGCGGAAGTTCGGCTTGTCTCTCCGGGTGCCAATTTCAGAATATGTGCACTCAGAAGGCCCTCACACGGCTACGCTCCCATACCTCAAGCCCTCTGACCTATTGAGAACCCTTCTTTCGGACTACTCATTTCTGTTATTTGGTGGCTGCTCGGAACCAGATGATGACATTGAAAAGCTGCTGCTCTCTTTTTGGAGGGCTTACCAGGTCGAACATCCAGAACATGAGGTGTTTAAAAACCCGGAGCGGTTGAACCGTACCTTTCCCATAACTGTTCATGGGGATGGTGGCCGTACACAAAAGAAGCAGCCACTTGAAATCTTTTCATTGCAGCCCGTGCTGGGTCTGAATACTGCCTCGAAGTCCATGCAATGCCGTTGCAGTGCCTCAGTCGGCTTTGGTGGCACAGATTTGGGGGACCCATTCGCACAACATCTCAACAGCAAGTACTCAACTTTTCTGACTCACTTTTTGATTTGGGCGTTTCCAAGAAAACAGTATTCAAACTTTGATGATATTTTGACTGGGTTTCTGCAAGAAGCAATGGACGATTTGGGCAGTGCATGTTCACAGGGAATTCCATCCAAATCTGGAACGATCTTCTACCCATGCTGCATTGGTTTCAAACTGGACATGGAGTGGATGGCAAAAGTTGGAACACTAACGCGCAGTTACCAAAATGTTGGTCATGTCAATGCGAAAGCGTGCTGCGCGGAGTGTGACGCTGGCATAGTTGGTGTGCCTTTCGAAGACATGAACACCACTGCGGCCTGGATCCGCACCCGTTTCAATACTATTCCATGGCAGCATACCCCACCTTGGAGCAACATCCCGTTTGATCTCGACAAGCCAGCCAAATTTCTGAGAAGAGATTCATTTCACATTTTCAGATTGGGCATTTCCCGCAACTTCCTGGCAAGCAGCATATATCTTCTGATCTACATGGGGTGTCCCTCGTTTTCACAAGCATTTTTCCCATTTTCCCATCCTCAACACTGCTAGTGTGATTGGTGATTTTATTTTTGGGCCCAGCGCACCCCAATCCCAAAGCGAAAATCATGTGTTTGGTTATGCGTGTGTTTGAGTTTCGGGCCCTGAGGCTTCACAGCCGATGAAGACAACAAGAATATGGCCGATTGTTTGGCCAGGGCTTTTGCAAATTTGAAGCTCTGGTGCATGGCAAACTCCCTGCAAATTTTCAGCATCAGAGGATTCACTGTCGCAAACATGCATGCCAATCGCAATGCATTTCCCTGGCTGGGGTGCAAAGGGGCAGATTCAATTGTAATCTTGAAATGGCTCCTATTCTACGCGAACTTGGAACTGCAGCAACAAGGGTGGTCTCCAAACGACCGGCAAGTCCTGCGTTGGATTTCTGGTGGTGCTCAAAATGGTTTAGCATTTTCGCAGGGAATCCATGGTCATGGCATTTGGCTGGTCTCATCATGTGTTGGTCATTTTCGCAAAGCAGTCCACCAATTTGGAATCAACTACGCTCACCTCGCTGCTCACTGCATGGCAAAAAAATATTGTCTATTTGGTATGGTACCAAAGATCCATGCCTACATGCATTTTCGAACAGAGTTCGATGATGCGCTTGCAGATGGCAGGCGTGCAACGCTGAACCCCGCAGTTTTCGATACAAGCATGTGCGAAGATTTTGTGGGCCGCATCAGCCGGCAGTCAAGAAGGATCGTGTTTAGAAATGTTGAAAGGTCAGTGCTGGGGTCCTATCAGGTAAAGGCGAGACTGGCAATCAAAAGTTTTTTGAAGCAGCACAGACGTGCGCGCGCGCAAAACAAGAGTCTGAGGATGTCTGAGGTATCGACGGTTGGAGGTGGCCAGCCCAACGGGGAAGTTAGTGCCAAATGGCTGCTGGAAATCAATTTAGGGGAACAACATCACTTATCCATACATCCCCAAAAATATCAGCGGCAGTTTCTGCAATTCAGCGGTGGTTTTGTTTCTCCAACGGTTGTTCTACCCAGCCAGAACCTCAGCGGCAATTAAAAGGACAACAGGGAGCATTCAGGTATATATATTGCAAGGAACCCCCCCAAGCGCTCGTTTCATCCATGGCCTCTCCAACCCTTGGGTGGCTGAAGCTGCAAGTGAAATGTGAGACTAAATAAGGTGGCCGAGACGGGAACCAGCTGCAACGCCTTTGACGGAACCCGGACATACCCTGCTTTACCTGCGCCAGCCTGTAGTGAAAAAAGGGGCTAATCTGAAGCGAACCTGATCGATGCAGTCGGACTCTAGGACAATTTCCGGTGACTGCTTCCCCTAGTTGGTGGTTTCAATCCCTCTGAAAAATATGAAAGTCAGATTGGATCATCATCCCAGCTATTGGGGAAAATATGGGAAAATAAAAAAAAATGTTCCAAACCACCAACCAGTTCCCAGGATGCAACATGTCACAACATGTCTCATTGGCCAGGCGACCCACTCAAAAATTATAGGATGAGATGTCCCTTCAATATCTGGTTGGTGGTTGACCTACCCCTCTGAAAAATGATGGACTTCGTCAGTTGGGATGATGACATTCCCAAAAAAATGGGGAAACATGTTCCAAACATTTCCAACCAAATATCAGGAAATCTTTTTTGTGGGCTGTTCTTTTGCACCACGATCAACATGGCTTTGTCTGGAAATGTAGCACCCAAAATTCCACTGATGAACATCAGCATGGGAACCCATTTCAAAGTGCTGTTCGGGGTATACAAACCATGTTCAAACATCCGCTATCATATAGCTGGTTCTACTTACATATGTATATGTATCTGTGTGTATCACGACTATCCTAGTAATATCTTCAATGGTTAAACCCGTTCTTGATGGTTGACTTTTACCAACAAAATTCAGCCAGGATGTCATATCAAGTTGGTTGTATACCCTACTGTCTCACCCTTGTAACCCCATTATCCATCATTGTGCCACATTTTTTGTTGTTTAAGTTCCCATTTGCACGGCCTATTTCCACATACAATCCACATCTGGATGTATCATGTCAAGTTGATCCAATTGCATCCTCCGAAAACGCCTGTTTTCGGTTGCTGGAAAACACCATTTTTTATTCGCTCGATGATAAAGGATCAGTACCACATCAAGTTGATTATACCCACCAACAAATCCTCAAACATAGCCAAACATAGCCAAACATAGCCAAAACAGTTACAGTTACAATAGTTATTACTGGATAGATTTCACCATAGTGAAATTGGGGCCCCATATCCCAATTTATGGAGATATATAACCATCTCTCTCTCAACCGCTTTCTCGAATTACAACATTAGTTAAGCTAAGGGTTTATACTCATATATAGCTATATCAGTTATATCAGTTATATCAGTTTTATCAGTTATATCAGTTACCCTCTGGTAAACTAACATAGCTATGGAAAATCACCATTTTTAATGGGACAACTCACTATAAATGACCATTTCCAATAGCTATGTTAGTTTACCAGAGGGTATATCCAGTCAACAACCGGGAACATCCAGGTCCAGACGGCAGCTTGACGACCAAAGCGCCCGCTTGCGCCGTTTCACGTCACGCCCGGCCCTAACGGCTTGGTTTCGTTCCTTTCCTGCGACGGAAAGGGACCACTCTCCCGCAATACGAGTATGCCCCAAGCATACAGGTACAGCTCCAACCATGCACGTATCTATATATTATATATATACACAAAATATTATGATATACTATGTATGTGTATGTATCTATACCATTCTATACCTATTTATAGGTTAGCTTTATACATATCTATATCATATCCTGGAACCTACCTTCCAATATTGAAATTTATGAAATGAAGAAAATGACTCGTTTTGACCATAGATCACCATAGATCCTTCTTCTGCACAACGACAAGCCCTCTTGTGTTTGCTCCGCCAAACTGCCCTCACAGTCTAGTTTGTGGCAGGACACCAGCGGCTGTGGCTGGGTTCCCAGGTCATTTTTATCAAAGTCAAACATTGCCACCAATCCCCAATTTGCGGTTTGGCAACTTGGGCATTCCCCTATTTGGGAAGATTTATAGCCTCAAATTAACATAATTGGAACTGGTAAATTGGATTGTGGATGTGCAAATCAGTAGTAACATCATTAACAACAGCTTTCTGTAAGTTATCACTTTTCCAAGACCTAGATATCATCTCTTATTCATCAATCAAACATAACCAAACCATTTAGTAAGGGTAAATTATTTGGTAATTCACCAGCCTGAAATGTTGGCCTTCTTCGGGATAATTCCCCGCAATCCTAACCAAAATTCCAGTGAGGGAAAAAAGTGAGGTCACTATAATTTACCCAATTAATTACTTAGATACCCAAGTCAACCTATATTTTTTTGTCGCTCAAGTCATCCATCCCTTCTGGATAAATTAGAATAATTCACGAAGCTTGTTTAAAAGGCCACTCGGGAGAGTTACCCCTTGGTAATTTGGTACAGCTTGCTATGGTATACATGGTCTATTTAGTTCCGTTTCTTAATTAATTGTTCCATTCTTTACCTTTCAGTTTCACCACCATCCAGCGACAATCCCTCCTTGTGCAGCACCAGCAGGGCATGCTGCTGTGCCCGCAGTTCCTCAAAGGAACACTCGAAGTCCCAGAGACTCTTCGGCTGCCGTTCCACTGTGACTTTCTCGACCTGAACTTATCAGGGCTTCTGAATCGAAAAATCCATGGACAAATGGATCTCAAATTTCAAAGAAGTGCCCAAAAACCCCACATCATCCCGTTCTACCAGGTGGTTGACAGGGGTTTCCATCTTGGAGATTTAACGCCATTTCTCTTGTGAAATTCGATATTTGGGCTCATTGAAGAATCAAAGATGGGGGACCATGGGAGCATGAAAGCAACAAACATGGGGATTAAGCCAGCAAAAACAGGAGCAGTTTCCGGCAAACATGATCCCAGCCATAAACCGCCATGGGGGACTTCCCAGCTGTGTCGCTGGCGGTGGGGATCTGGGTGTGCTACCGAAACCAGTGGATTTAAGGAGACTAAGGAGACCAGATGTTCAGACAAACCTATATGGACATTAAATATCCTCCAGCAAACTAGCGTAGATGCCGAAAAACAATAGAGAAACCCGATCGGAAAATAATTAACAAATGGCGGGTTTTTCATATCTATGTGAATTTACTGCAAGATATTGGAATTTACCAGGAATTTTGATGGACAAGGAAGGGACAAATATGGAACTTTTCAGCTCATTCTGCTTACCAATCATCTGCTGCAACTTGACTTGGCATTGGAACATCCGTTCCACATGATTATGTAGAAGGACTCTGAAACAGCTGGGTTTGTCTGAGAATAGGGTACTCCAAAAGCATTCCTAGTTGATAATCATTTTCCCATTAGAAGCGCCATTTTGTTGACATACCCTATTCTCAGACACACCCATGTTCATTGACCTATTGTTGAAAGCAGGTTGCCAAGTTTTGCAAATCTGGAGGACATGGCAAGGATCAATAGTGTTCCAGGCCTGCTCATATGACAGTAACAGTATATCACATTCTTGGGATAGTGCCTTAAGTTGGCTGCACGCAGACCTCAAACATGTTGAGTACCTCCAATGTGGGTACAGTAGCCGAAAATTCCCGCTCGTAATTATCCTTACATTAAACTATATGTATATATGCAGTATATTGAAACGTGACAAATAATGCGGCAAACTGGCCATTTGGGGATGCTTTTTCCCCCAGTCCGTTCGCGTGAATTCATTTTCAAACAGCTGGCTCTTTCACCGGCTGCGTCCAAGTAACAGGCAACGAACCAGTGTAGACTTCCTTGATTTCCTGATGGCTGCGAAAATGGCGGTGACTAGCGAAGGAACAACCTTCGGTCAGTGTATTACATGGCTATGCGTGGAAATAAACCAACATATGAATATGTAGTAATAGTAACAATAATAGTAATAATAATAACAATCATACTGTCAGTAATAATAATCATATTAACAATAAAAACAGCAATAATGGAAATAAAAATAATGATAATATGTATATATATATATGTGTAGATGTCTGTTGGCCTATATTATATATATATACCTGCATAAAATAAATAAATAAATAATATATATATATACCTGCATAAAATGAATAATAGTAATATATATATATAGGTATAGATACATGCACCTCATGTGTATATATGCATGTATATATATCTGGGCAAATTATAATAATTCACAAACCTGAAATAAGGCCATTTGGGGATGATTCCCCTTAATAACCATGATTCCAGTGAGGTCGCAGTGAGGTCGTTATAATTTACCCAGATATATGCAAATAACACGGTATAGGGAAAAAATATGCCGACACAAAGACACACAACTATGAAATCCTTCAACATACAGCAGCTGCACATCACAGCCCCGCTGGCCCTGCCCTGGCCTTCTTTGTCACCTCCGGAGGACTGATATGATCTTTAAAGACCTTTCGTCCACCTGAGATCCGGTGGAGTTTTCCGTGGTAGACATTCACAGTGTGCGAACTTGAAAATGGCCATAGAAATAGTTGATTTACCCATAAATTTTATGATTTTCCATAGTAATGTTAGTTTACCAGAGGGTACCTTGCTTGTATGTCGTTGCTTTTTAACAACTATGTATACATAAAACTCGATATCTAAATGTATGTTCCATGTGTAATCATTGCGGATCGTATCGATATGTGGGATCTTTGCCGGTCCTGTGTAGGGTGATCATGAGATCAGTCAAATAAATTCAACTAATGGTTAACTCGGGCTATATTCACACATGAGGTGGACCCAAGGGCATAAAACATCTCCAATTGGGGTCTATTATTGGGAATGCTCTTGTTTGGGACGAGCCTACAATGGTCTCCTTTTTGTGGTTGGTTGATGGCCTTGTATGAAGCGGAGTGGAGTATCACAAGGAGGGCCACCTCCAGCCCATCGCAATCATAATAAACATCCCAGCCTATATGGTTGCCCCATAGATTCGATAGCTAAACTAGGGTTACGGGGGATATAACTATAGTCAAGGGGTTTTGTAAACCTTAACTTCTAACTGGGGAACCCCCCATATTTATACCAAACTATTCCCGCCCCCCACAAAATATCAACATGGGACCAACCAATCCCGGCTTAGCCAGTCAGTAGCTGAGCCACAAACGGCGCGTGTAGCTTGGACGCATCGGTTCACTTCGCTCAGTGCCACTCGGCCGTCAAAGTTGGGATCCAAATCCTTGGAAGAACACCGTGCTGCAGAACTTGGGCGATGAACTAATCATCGGAACGTTGGAACTAAGTTAATGATACCATCTGGTTATTTAACATGGCCATGGAAAATCACAATTTTTAATAGGCAAACCATCTATAAATGGGCCATTTTCCATGGCTATGTTAAATAACCAGAGGGTAATTAGTGACTAATCATTGGACAATGAAATAACATTATATCATCATTACTGGTTGGTGGTATACCTACCCATCTGAAAAATATGACTTCGTCCAGTTGGGATGATTATTCCATTCCCAATATATAGAAAGTCATAAAATTCATGTTCCAAACCACCAACCAGATATCTCATTAACCATTATTAACCACTATTAACCACCATTAATCACCATTGTCTTGGGCTAATCCTTGATGACATGATGAACAGCGCTTCATGGTGAATGGAACTTCCCTGACCCTCGTTCCAGTGATTCGCAATCAAAGCAACGCGCCCATGAAAACGCTAAGATGGGCACCTTTGGCAAACCCAAAAAAACAACGAGCCCCTACACAAAAACATAAAAAAAACACATGTAAACGATGTTTTCTATCCTAGATTGGGCCTTGCTATGCATCCACTTACCATCTATATTCCTGTATGACCCCAATCTCCCAATCTATGGTTGTTTTATGCCCCCTATGTTTGTGGCTTAAACTCCCCAATTCTTCTAGATCAAACGTTTGCAATTGGTAGGAGATATTTTTAATTTTGAATGATTCTTCCAATATTGCTGGGATAAGAGGATAGCCCTCATTAAGAAAGAAGAAAACCAGTCAGTGTGTTCCCATCAATCTATTCCACATCGTTGTCCCCAATAAACCACTTAGATTACTGACCCACTGTATTAACCATTCCACGGCATCTTTTCAGTGGTGAAATCCCATTTATATTCCCTTTTTTAAGTCGATTTATAGTCACCATTAACTGGTTCGATACATCTATCATAAAACCTTTTTACATACAGTTAACCAACTTGGCTACTTCTCGAAGCACCTTGTACCCACTTACATCCCTTGATATTCCCATTAATGTGGGTAAAACAGTGTCACAAACCACCCATGACTGGGAATGGATTATTTATACCACCTATAGAAATGGTGACTGTGGGATGGTTTATATTAACCCTCTGGCAAACATACAAGAAACTATGGACAATCACTATTTTTCATGGGTAAATCAACTACTGTATGTCTATGGCCATTTTCAATAGCAATCTGTTGCAGTTCAAGAGAACACAAATCCCACTAATATCCATTATCATCCCTATTAAACCATTAATATCCCATTAACATCCCTATTAAACCACTAAAATCCCATTGTCATCCCTAACCACTAATATCCCATTATCATCCCTATTAAACCACTAATATCCCATTAACATCCCTATTAAACCATTAATATCCCATTATCATCCCTATTAAACCACTAATATCCCATTATCATCCCTATTAAACCATGAATATCCCATTATCATCCCTATTAAACCACTAATATCCCATTAACATCCCTATTAAACCACTAATATCCCATTATCATCCCTATTAAACCACTAATATCCCATTATCATCCCTATTAAACCATTAATATCCCATTATCATCCCTATTAAACCACTAATATCCCATTATCATCCCTATTAAACCACTATATCCCATTATCATCCCTATTAAACCACTAATATTCCATTAACATCCCTATTAAACCACTAATATCCCATTATCATCCCTATTAAACCATTAATATCCCATTATCATCCCTATTAAACACTAAATCCTGTTAACATCCCTATAAACCACGAAATATCCCATTAACATCCATTAAACCACTCATAGTCCCATTAACATCCGTATTAAACACACTAATATCCAGTATCATCATAGTAAACCACTAATATCCCATTATAATCCCTATTAACCCATTCAATATTCCCATATACAGATTAAACCACTAATATACCATTATCATCCCTATTAAACCACTCATACCCAGTTATCCTTCCCTATTAAACACTAATATTCCATTTAAACATCCCTATGAAACAATAAGATTTCCCATGATCATCCCTATTAAACCATGAATATCCCATTACCATCCCTATTAAACCACTAATATCACATTAACATCCCTATTAAACCACTAATATCCCATTATCATCCCTATTAAACCACTAATATCCCATTATCATCCCTATTAAACCACTAATATCCCATTACCATCCCTATTAAACCATTAATATCCCATTATCATCCCTATTAAACCACTAATATCCCATTATCATCCCTATTAAACCACTCATATCCCATTAACATCCCTATTAAACCACTAATATCCCATTATCATCCCTATTAAACCACTAATATCCCATTAACATCCCTATTAAACCATTAATATCCCATTATCATCCCTATTAAACCAGTAATATCCCATTATCATCCCTGTTAAACCACTAATATCGCATTAACATCCCTATTAAACCACTAATATCCCATTATCATCCCTATTGAACCATTAATATCCCATTAACATCCCTATTAAACCACTAATATCCCATTAACATCCCTATTAAACCACTAATATCCCATTAACATCCCTATTAAACCACTAATATCCCATTATCATCCCTATTAAACCACTAATATCCCATTAACATCCCTATTAAACCATTAATATCCCATTATCATCCCTATTAAACCACTAATATCCCATTATCATCCCTATTAAACCACTAATATCCCATTATCATCCCTATTAAACCATTAATATCCCATTATCATCCCTATTAAACCACTCATATCCCATTATCATCCCTTGGGGGGTGCCTTGGCCTCTTTGTCTGTGGAGGCCAGAAACTATTTCTTAAATAAACCCAATTTACAGAAACTATTTCCTAAATCAACCCTAAGTTGGGAAACTAATTGAAACTATTTCTTAAATAAACCCAAGTTACAGAAACTATTTCTTAAATCAACCCAATTTGCAGAAACTATTTCCTAAATAAATGGAAGTTTTGGAAACTTTTGGAAATTACCTCAAAAAATGCATTAATAAAAAAAACTAAAAAAGTAATTCAAGTTACGCCTTCTAGGGATTGGTTTGAAACGGTTTGAAACGGTTTCGGACTATTGCCTAGCAAGTAGCGGGAAACGGTTTGAAACGGTTTCGGACTATTTGCTAATTAGCCATTCTCAGAAACTATTTGAAGCTATTTGAAACTATTTGAAACTATTTGCAGTTTTTGCCAGGGTGAATTAGCAAATAGTAGGAAACGGTTTCGGACGGTTTCGGACTATTACCTAACAAGTAGCGGGAAACGGTTTGAAACGGTTTCTGTGATACTCTTACTCTGCCTTAAATCATCAAACAAGACAATTTACCAATAAAGATAAATAAAACCTAAGTTGACAAATATAGACACATATAGACACATTATATATATATGACATATTGAAACTCCTTACAGATTGAAAAGTAAGAAAGAAACAGTGACTGATTCTGAGATGAGGAGTCAAAGAACATAGAACGAAACAGAATGAAGGGTGCCTGCGTGGCAGCCTCTCTCTCTCTCGGTGAGAACATGGCTCACTTGTCTGGGGCAATCTCTGGACTTTAAGTGATTGACTTCTATCCTTGTCCAATGGTTGGGATTGGTAAAAGCAATCCTGGTTTTGTAAATGGTTTCTGGGTTTGGGGCCCAGATTAAGAAATAGTTTCTAGGATTTAAGAAATATTTAAGAAATAGTTTCCAGGATTTAAGAAATAGTTTCCAGGATTTAAGAAATAGTTTCTGGGATTTAAGAAATAGTTTCTGGGATTTAAGAAATAGTTTCCAGGATTTAAGAAATAGTTTCCAGGATTTAAGAAATAGTTTTCTTTCATATTTACCTCTTAGGAAGGTTAAGCTGGTAGCCTCCCGACGAAACCGGACCCCCCGGGCTCCCGCGACAGACCTTGACAAATAGAGAAAAGTTCAGGCACACACCAGTCCGGACTTTTGGGGGAAACCCCTGACTTGGGTATCCTCTGAGGTGTCTAAAATGCCATGTGGCAAAGGCCTGCTAACACCATCCCCCAACTCACCCGCAAAAGCTATCAGCCACATGGTTTTGTTTGGGGAGCATTTTTTTTTCATCCCACAACTTGTGGGCATCGCGTGTGGAATTATTCGCGGCGTTGTATGGTGCATTTGGCGAAAACTGCGCTGGGACAGGGTATGTGTTTATGTTGCTGTTTGACAAACCCTTTCCTGGATTGAAACAGCATTGCAACTGGTATGGCGCGATAGTACTCCCAATTGGAGTCTAGATGGTTTCAAGTTTCAAGCGTCAACAGTTTCAGTGTGGTGAGCCATGGGTGAAGGAGGCTCTAGTACTATTAAACGGGCATGTGCGGTAAAGACATTAGTTCTTTCTCACCACAAACTACCATTGGCAAATGCGTGTTCCAAGATTGACCAGGTTTGCCCTGACAACATGGTCAATATCAACTTTTACTTGCAAATATTACCCCTTTGATTCAAGTAATGGTTTCTGGGAAATCAACATGATTTAGCAAATGGTTTCTACATGTTCTACTTTACGGGAAAAAGAGTTTCTACATATCCTACTTATTTAGCAGATGGTGTCTAGTATTTAGCAAATGGTTTCTAGTTTTTTGCACATGGTTTCCAGAATTTGGCAAATAGTTTCTAGTATTTAGCAAATGGTTTCTAGTATTTAGCAAATGGTTTCCAGTATTTAGCAAATAGTTTCCAGTATTTAGCAAATAGTTTCTAGTATTTAGCAAATAGTTTCTAGTATTTAGCAAATGGTTTCCACCTGTGCAAGAAATAGTTTCTGGATTTTACAGAAATGGCAAATAAAGAAGCCAACGCACTCCACAAATCATCCCTATTAAACCACTAATATCCCATTAACATCCCATTCATATCCCATTAACATGCCTATTAAACCACTAATATCCCATTAACATCCCTATTAAACCATGAATATCCCATTATCATCCCTATTAAACCACTAATATCCCATTAACATCCCTATTAAACCACTAATATCCCATTATCATCCCTATTAAACCATTAATATCCCATTATCATCCCTATTAAACCACTAATATCCCATTAACATCCCTATTAAACCACTAATATCCCATTAACATCCCATTCATATCCCATTATCATCCCTGTTAAAACACTAATATCCCATTAACATCCCTATTAAACAACTAATATCCCATTAACATCCCTATTAAACCATTAATATCCCATTATCATCCCATATCAGAGGCTTTCCGAATGGGTGAAATCTCCATGACTTTCCGAAGGTCGTTCATCAAGTCCGCCATCTCTTGCGCTGAACACTGGCCCCGCTCCACGATGCCCAAGCGTTGCCTAAGAGCCACGCTTAGCCGCGAAAGAAACGTCGCGAAGATCGCGAAGTGGAATGCACATGTCAATAAGCGTAAAAACTGCTGACTATATGTTATACATATTCGTACCTATGTGTAGGTACACGTGTGCATGTCGATCTTCATGTATGCCTGTGCGCCTGCAGAATGTGTGCAATTAAATATGTATATAATATATATATGTATGTATATGTGCACGGGTGTGATTGTAAACATATCCAGGAGAAAATGATGAAATGCATGCATCAAAGATGATGATGTATCAAAGCTTTTTCTGGACGGCCTACCTAGCAGATAGAGCTTGATAGTAAAGCTCTCCGGCAAAGTAGCACAGGTGGAGTAAACAGCCAGTTGGCTCAGTGGCGCAGCCACCAAACTAGGGATGTCGTGGTAAGTACGGTAAAACTTTGAAACAAACCCAGAATACACAAAATAATGCCCAACGTGGCAACATCCGAAGGGCAAATCATCAATGGGCAAATCATCCAGATTGATATATATTCTGAGGATTCCGGGCGCAACATGGTGCAATTTCACGAGCGTACATGCGCCATCATACACCAACTTTCGACATCAACGACCTGTTGATTAGTGCAATGTCAATAATGCTGGATAGCTATTAATGTATGTTGTAAGAACATGATATGAATATGTGATGTACATACAAAAAATGAATACCCTATTTTTTACTTAACATAGTTATGGAAAATCATCATTTTTAAGAGGAAAATCGTGGGAATACCATGGTAAACTTTCCCCTTAAATCTTCCAATCAAACTGTTTGGGTCTGTAACATACATGTGTTGAAACACAAATACTGTGTGTGTATATGTGTGTGTGGACCCATTCTGCACCCCTTCTGCTTCGATGCCATAACTCCAGGACGTGGCTGCGGCCAAGAAACAAACCTTCCAGAAATTCATGAGGCTCCAAGATACCTAGCTGCATGGGGCTTCGCAAAATGCTTGGACACTAGTTGGTGCCCTACAGTGATCATAGTGATCTATCTTGGCAATGGACAGTCACTTTTTTGATGGACAATTTTCTCATATTCAACATGTTCTTGTATGTTGTTTTTCACTGCCATGCGAAATTACCAGAGGTTAAATGAGTGTAAAAGCATCTTATTGGAAAATAGCAGGTTGTCACTTTTTAGGAGCAACCGTCAACCTCCATAATTAATGACCCACCAGCGTTTGTCGATCTGCGGTTGATATTCCAACCATATAAGGGGAAAAAACTCTACCTGCATGGCATCTGCGCAGCTTATTCAATCAACTATCCATTTGTTCAGGCAAGTGACCTATCCGTTTTTCTATCCGTCATATGTAAACATTGACAACTGCAAAAACCGGCACATCTTATCCATCCAAACCGAAGTCCTTCGAATGATCTTCAGCATACATCCATCACATGGCCCAACATAGCCATGGAAAATGGTCCATTTATAGATGGTTTACCTATTAATAAATGGGGGATCTTTCCATGGCAAACTGTTAGTCATAACCAGAGGGTAAATATTTTGAAAAAAATCATTTAGATCACAATGGTATCCATTCTTTTTTAAAACCACCATTTATAACCATGGTATCATCGATAACCATTTATAGATACCATGGTATCTATTTCTTCATGAGAATAACCATGGTATCCACTGTATCTAATTATACATATCCATCGGAGCCGCGCCTGGAATGCCATGGTTGACGTATTTGAAGAGGTGCTTCAGATTGGCGCGCCGCTTCCTCATGACCTCGGGATAGGGCTGATTTTTGTGGGACCTTCATGATGGATGCCAGCAAATTTTGGTTGCATGATATATGTATCTATGATGTATATATAGTATATTAAAATACATATATAACATAACATAACATAATATGATATAAGAATTATAATTATAATATCATGATGTATATGTAATATGTATATGCCACCTGCATATGATACTCGTCACTCCTGCAACAACATCTGGTATTGCCCAAATCTCGAGCCAAGATTTGAAGATGCCGATGCCGTCCCAGGTGCACTATGCAAACTCAGAAAAATGTGCTTGGCCAGGGCAGTCAGACCGGGGAAGGTTCCCTTGGGCGGCCATGAGTTGCCGTGATCTAAAAACACTGGTCAACTAACAGTTTGCTATTGGAAATTACCATGTTAAAGAGGTAAATCACCTAAAAATCTAAAAATGGACCATGTTCCATAGCTATGTTAGTTTACTGGAGGGTAGTGGTTGGGATATGAATTTCCTAAGAGTTGGGGTTAACCTCACATAGAAAGCAGCTAATTGAAACCAGCAGCCAAAGGCGGAGCCAGCTGGCAAATGGAGATGGAAGCAACGCCATCTTTCAGTTTGCGTTAAATCATACATGTGGGTTCTGACTAAGTTTCTCAAATATAGATACGGCAAATGAAACATAGCTGGTTCAAGAATGTATGTATTAAAAAAATGCATCATATGTCTATCTATGTGTAGAAGATTGAATATGTATGTTTTTTGTGAAAATATTCGGCACACATGAGTGTCCCTGCACCTTTTTGGGAAGAGCCCAACGCCCACTACTTGATGACAACTTTTTGTGTGCATTGCAGTATAAAAGAACAATAAATACTAATAAATTGCCGGTATAGCCCGTCTTGAAACACACCCAAGTATCATATCAAGTTGGTCGTGTATCCTATCAATATCCCCATCATCTTCCCATAAGCCAGGCAATTTTACATACAGTATCAGCATTGAATCATGTCCATCAATATCCCATGGTAACCCACCCATTGCAGCCAATGTTTTGTTGGTTAGATCTCAAGTTTATTGTCAGCCAGAATTCGGTTTACCTGATATAACATATTAGATTAAGATTGATATACCCTTCATCAATCCAGCATCAATGGTATTAATTATAGATCACCTTGATTATATATCTCATATCCAAATCGTTGTTTGTTGGTTGTCCCCATGTTTGATTGTTATTCAGAATGTAAAACATTATTGTTAATATTCAAATAACCAATGTTATCCAGTTCAAATGATTATTCAGCAATATGCTAACCATGTTTATTCAGTACTACTGTTGATCATGGTTAATATCCCAACTTCATCGCCCAATTCCTGGCGAAGCCAATCTTTCTTGGTTAAGTCAACCATGGCCCGAACTGTGAAATTTCCAAACAAAAACACCATGAGAAACCCGAAGAATCGCACAATGAATCCCCTTGAAAAACTGATTTAACTGACTGGTTACAACTAAATTACATTGACTGGATAATGATATTGGTTAAACACTATCCCCACTATCAATGGTTGATATCCTCACTGCTGAGTACTATCACCAACTGGTATCCTTGACAACAATTCACTCACCTGAAAATAGCTGTCATCATACGGCTAATTTGAGGATGATTCCCCCAATACATTGACCATCATTGAGTGGTTTACAACTAGATCATATCACATAATACCATTAAAACAAAACGCAAAACATAGCAGCAATCCAATGCTATCATTTTTCCAAATCTGAAACATATATGGTATTGGATTATCACATAATACTCACAATACCATTATATATTAAATAAAATCTGAATCCAATGCTATCATTTTTCCAAATACCAGTTATATATCCCAAGATGTCTTTAATCATATATCTGGGTAAATTAGAATATTTCACTAACCTGAATCTTGCGGCCATTTGGGGGTGACTTCCCCTACTAACCATGATTCCCAGTGAGGGAGAACAGTGAGGTCGTGATCAAATTTACCCAGATATAATCATCATTAACCATAAATAAGCACTATTAATCATCATTAACCAACATTAACCATTAATAGCCATTAATATCCCAACTATAAAAGCCTTGATCTCCTAGGGATCAACGCTGGACCTCCCCAGGACCTCCCCGGGCACCATGGGCACCGGCCGGGCACCGCACCTCCCAGGCGGAGCGGACCGGAGCCTTCTCAGCGTCCTTGGGGAGTTTTTATCGTTCAGGCATGGTGGAAACATGTGGTTTATATATACATATATGTATATGATTGTATATGTATATATCTATATAATGCGACCAAATGCTGGTTTCATAATGTTTAATTCATGTGGTTTAAATGATGTAGATGTGGTCCGGTTTAAGGTGGTTGAATGTGGTTTAATGTGGTTGCTTTTGTGGTTGTTCATGTGGTTTTGACCTGGAAGAACTGGTGATGTACAGCCACACAAAACAAATGATACGTAAGTTTTGTTCAACATAACTAGACAATAGTAACCAGTGCAGATTTATGGTGAGTATATCAATTGATCTAGTTGGGAACGGCGATGAGAGGCACCTGGTGGTTTTAAGGGGGTTTGCGTGCACTTCCCAATGTAACTGTGCAGGCAGCCTTGCACGCCTGCTTTTTCACTTCTCAAAAACTACTTCAACCATGCAATAATTTCAGCGTAACATGAACATGAACGTTAACATCCCACCCCACCCCACCCCACCCCACCCCATGATCAACGTAACATCATCAGCGTAACATGAACATAAACGTTAACGTCCCACCCCACACGACCCCACCCCATCATCAAACAAAAACAGAAAAACCAAAAAAAAGACAACAAAACACCCAGGCGCCCTGCAGCGCCCATGGCATCTAGCTAGATTGGGTAACATCAACAAATTAAGATATTTAGGCGGCCTGTTCCAGCATGCAATTTACAAGCTGCACATGTCCCTGCCATTCCCGTTTATCCTTTTAACATCTTTTAACCACCAAAGATTGTGAAAACTCATATGCACAAATGGCTGTGTAAAAAAACAGGCGGAAATCAATGCATGAGTCACATACTTTTCAGCTTATTTATTATTCAGGCAAAATATGAATCAAGCATAGCCCTGGGCACCATGCCATACGGATGTTGGTTGAGAACGGATCCTGCTTCTTGTGGGTTACGAAAAAGGTACTGTACTGACAATAGGCCCCAATAGCCCAAACAAATAATCGCAAGAGGGGTCTTGTTCATGGCTCAAACTGAGAACTGGCAACCTCTTGGAGGTACAGAAGATGCTGAATCCAAATGACGTTTGTCAAATCAATGACGACCAACCCCACCCAATGACTACCAATGACTGGTAGATCAAATTTCAATGGATATCAATCCAAGAAAACCCTGATTTATTTGGGAGCGACACATTTTCGGGGCCACACTTCCATGTTCGGCCCATATTTTTGTGCAGCGTGGCATGACTTTGAATTGGCCACGAGCTGTCTTTTGTTTGGTCCTTTTGACGTTGGATCCAATGAAAATGGGGGTCTCCCAAAAAAATTCATTGCACTGTGCTGGAAGCTTGCCTTACAACCTACTACCTGAAGATAGCAGCCAACCTCATCAACTCTACATCAACATCATCAGGGCTGTTTCCTATCACATCTACCATGTTGATCCACCGCGGCTAAGCTTAGGACAGCACCAATGTCCCTGAGTTCGTTGATCATTTCCTCATTGGGCCAGCCCGAATTCTTCTGCAAGGGATTGGCAAAGCGCCCCTCAAATTGACCTCAGCCGAGGAAGGTGAAACCAGGTGAAACCAATGGCTGGAGCCCACACCAGAAACATCCAGAAACAAACTATCCAAACACCCGTAATATGTGGCCACCATTGGCCACCTCCAAATATCACTGACACAGCCTGACACAATGTTTCGAGTTTGGGTGCCAGATATTGTCGCTCTGCGTAGTTTGCGGCTGAGGCACCTTGTTCAAACCTAGCTTGTTCAATGAAGGCCTTGGAGCGCGAAGCGCTGGTGCAATATCAAAACCTTTCAAGGTGGCAATGGGAAATCCCTTATGAGCACCGTAGTTCAACATCAACACAGCTATAATCTGGTGCTGTGTACATACCCCGCTTGATCGAGTCAAGGCATATAAAGGAAGACTATCGGTGCCAGGACATTTGCTGGGCATCCAGAATTCCAATAGATCACCACCAGCTTCGGAATGAACCTTGCAAATTGCGTGGTGTCCCAAAATCTTTGACAAATCCTGCTCAAACTTGAGTTTTGATATCCTTGTTTCTGTCATTGGGTGTACTATTCCCCTGTTAGATCCTCATATCACAATAATAATATTTTGAATTAGATCATCTTAAATCCCCTTAAATGGCAGGTTAAGTCACCAACATTCAGTGAAGTTCAGGCTGCTTAAATCCATGGTTTCCCGCCAAGGTCGTGTCTGGATTTCCATCTTGAACGCTTTTTGTCCAAGGTGCTTCCTGATCGCGTTTTCGCATCGCATCCTTCCTGAAGATCAGCGCTGAAGTGGCGTGGAACTCTGGGAATTGTCAGCCCGAGAAAGTGGATCATACCCAAAAAAAACATGTGTTCTGGCAAAATGTCTATAAACATATTTTGCAAGGATGTGCATAATGCAAATTATTGCACTCAAAGTAGCCAAAGCCGAGCACCCCACCCTGGCCCCCAAGACCCAAGGCAGCCTCGCGTGTGTAAAGCGCACAACTACTTGAACATCCATTAGCGTTATAACAGTTATCGCCGTCCACAGCGTCTTCGCAAAAAAATGCTCCGTTTCTGATGGCGATATAACATGTGTACTTGCAATTTAGCTATTTAGATCTGTTTACACATACCTTTGTATGTATTTGTCAGCATTATCATTGACATCATAATTATGTAATATATCCATTCAAATCCACCATCTCATGGGCCAGTAATGGCTATGTAGTAGTTGGAACTGGATAGCCTGGGTTCGGGTTCCCAAGTTGTAACACCCTCCTGAGAATATCTGGGTCACGAGTGATACCCTCCTGCAATTTAACATCGCTATGGAGAATCACCATCTTCAATAGGTAAATCAACTACATATAAATTGGAAATCAACTACAACTGAGCCATTTTCCATAGCTTTGTTAAATTACCAGAGGAAATTTCATGGGTACTTCTAGTAAACACATGGTGGGACACTTGGTGGGATTGCAGAAACATTCCAAAAAACCAAACATCAAGTTCCTTCCCCACCCCAACCATCCCAGCAGTCCATTACCCCCGACCCATCCCAATTCGTCAAACTAGGTGAACACAGTTCAACAGTAAAAAAAATCCGCCGTTTGGGATTTTTAATGCCCATTTTTGATCCGTTCGCAGCCATGTGGATTTCCTTTATAATGGCTGTTCATACCGCCCGTTTTTAAGGGAAATCTGGGGGTTGCTACTTTCTTGGAGGATCATCCCACGGATTGTAGCTGGTTTTTTACTGCTAAACAATGCAAAACATCTATATCTGGGTGTGACTGAAAATAAAGGGCCCCCAAAAGCATGGGTTTCATGTTTTAAATTCTCCAACAACTGAGTTGATTTGGGGTCCATCGACTTTAAGAAAAACACATGTAGTGGTCCCATGTGGTACCTATCACCTTCCCATTCCATGCCCCATCAGCTCCTGGTCTTCAGGATGATCGCATGCGCTCGATTGCCCCTCACTGGTGTCTTGGACTTGGTGTCTTCGTGCTGCGTCAGTACCGTCTTGGCCACCGACTCCCTCCTCGGGAAGATTCCAGGAAGATGAGGCAAACTCATGCCACCCAGCATGGCAGTGGAAAACCTCCATTTGTTTTGCATCCGTGTGTGGACGATGTTGCCAAAAGACACTAGGCCAGGTTGCTTCATCCCATAACATGGTTCATCTTTCATCTTTGGGTGGCTATCTGAAACTACAGGCAAACACCAGAAGGTTTGCGGAAACATCCATGCACCGAAAGGGGTTTTTCTACAATTTCTCCACATGGTTTTCGTGAAAATCGAAGGGATTTTCACCCCAATTTTGATAGTTCATCATCAATTTCAGTCCTTTTGCCTATTAATTAGAATGGCCATCTTTGGAGGTGTCACACTTGCAGCTAGTGGTGTCATGCCCCAAAGGGTTGAACAGTTGAACATTGGACATATTTGAAATGGCTTGGTAAATGTCCGAAAAAAATCACCTCGCACAACTATTGGGTACAGATTGGGTATATCCCGGTGATTGCAAAAAGATTCAAGCAACAAGTACCCAAGGTTTTACCCTCTGGTAAACTAACATAGCCATTGAAAATTGCCATTTATAGTTGGTTTAACCATTAAAAATTGTGATTTTCCATAGTTATATTAGTTTACCAGAGGGTAACCCTAAGAAAAACCTCTTCTTTCAAACAAAATCCCGAATTTTGATAGTTCAATCCCAGCAGTTGGCCATCGCCATAGCTTCATGGGCCGATTGTGGCCCTCCGCCGTGCGCGGACGCAGGTCGCTCGCATCACCGTTGTAGCGCTCCGGGGGGCTGCTGTACTGTTGACCTCAACGGACGTGGACTTGGTTGGAACTGGTGATAGTTTATGGGATTAGAATATGCACACGCAGACAAAGATATACATATATATATATATACATATAAATATACATAAATAAATGTACATATATATAAATATATATGTATCCAAATATAATTACATAGTTGTAATTTCTGTGTATGTGTATATGAATTGTATATGTATATAAATCGGGGTATGGGGTTCTACCACTATTTCAAATGGGTTTTTTTACGGTTATGCTGGCTGACACTTGTCAGATCTCCCTGGCTGGACCAGCCAGGGAGGTTCACAACCCAAGGGCTGCAGCCGATCAACATATATAGACAATTCTATCATGTTAAATCTTGGAAATGTTAGCTACAACATGAATGCTGCATCAAACGTCCACAAAAGATAGAACCCTTATCTTTCAGCATCTGAACTTTAATTTTGTCTATCCAACATCTCACATTTTTTGCAGTGAACCTACAGAATTAAATATTGGTAGTACAGAAGGAGGATCTTGTCAGTCGACAAAGAATTAAACCAGCAAACAACATGGGATAGGAAAAAACAAACAACAGAAATGAGGATTTAAGCGCACAAAAAAAACCAGGATGATCAAGGATCAAAAGTGGTGATGTAACAAAAACATACCAACAGAAAGGGATTTGAGCAGGAACAAAACAGGGGCACCAAGCAACAAGAGTTGGGAATCTCCTGGCAGCTAAGCAGCAAAAAGTGGAATGGTCATCCAACAATGATAGGCGACTACAAAAGAGGATTGCCAAGGCAACAGGCAACCAGCAAACAGGGAGGTGTTACCAACACAAACCAAATTTCAATTGGATCGAAGGCAAAGATGTGCGCAACCGACAAACATGGGCACATTTGATTCACACATTATGGTGATGAGTGTGACCAGAATGTTTTGGATATAGCAAATGATGGCAAATGAATATAATGTGTATGTATATATATATATTTACACACATAGTGTATATTAACATATATATATTATATTATATTAGCGGGTTTGGTATAAAAGCGGCAAGGTGTTCCAATACTTCACCGATTCATATCACTTGCCAATAAAGTACCCGGAACTACCATCTCCGGTCATCAAACATGGCTGGGATATCACCCATAAATAGCGTTTTTCTTTGGTGAAAATCATAGAAATCAATGGTGGGTTTTCCATGGTTTTCCAGCAATCCATGACTCCGGAGCTCAAGCGCTGAGGAACTTTTGACCCAGTGCATTGGAGGCATCAGGATGGGATCCTGCAGGCTAGATCCATAAGGTCCTTGCTTAAATTCCTCGGTGAATTCGCAGTGTTTCGGAAAAATGTGATGAAGCAGAGAGCAGCAAACTCAGCACACCCTCCCAATTTTTAAATAACAAAAGGGATCAATCTCAGCATAAATCATCCCAATACCACAAGTCTTGGACATGACTTAGCGGAAATGAGTTTATATAATCACATTTGAGATTCAGCATTTAGTTTACCGGGTTTACCGCATTACCATCAAAATCATGAAGCTGCTCTGCAAATTAGGATTATTAGTGATTCAACGGGGGACCAATGCCCTAGTACCAACTATAATCACCCATCCATGGAGGGTGATTATTACATGGTAGCATGTATATAATTATTTACATCAACTATATGCTATGAAGAAACAAGAAATCAGAAAAACATGATTAAACCCTCATTGAGATCCCAGGGAATAGTAATTAATCTTGGGCATGGGCTAAAATCAAAGAACCAGAAAGCAGCAAATTTCTCGTAGTAATTTTTTAAGGTACAGTACACTTATTTTCGCCAGCAACAGCACAACACCAAGCATCATGAAACAATATGGATCGGATGCTAGGAAACATCAGGAAAAACAAGACGATTGGTGGTATCAACCCATCTGAAATATATTAGCGTTCTTTGAGTCTCGTCCCCATTCGACCGTTGAACATTAAACCATATGTGAAACCACCAAATGATCACTGGTTACATGATAATTTAATATAATTTATATATCAATATTTATCCATATCCCCAGGATATCCCCCAGGATATCCCCAGAAGAAATGGTTGAAGTAACCAAGCATTGTATCCATGCGACGGCAAGATCAACCATAGATATCCATCCGTTTTAAGTTGGTTAAATCCAAATAACCACCCAGCAGAAGATAGTGTCTGCTTTGGTGGTTTCAACCTACCCCCCTGAAAAATATGAGTTCGTCAGTTGGGATAATGATTATTCCCAATATATGGGAAAAATAAAATTCACGTTCCAAACCACCAACCAGGTGTTAGTGGAATTTGTAGGGAACCCCCCACCAGAAAAGGACTCCCATTCCCATGCTCCCATCCTACTCCCATGTTCGAACCCCCTATTCTGCATGAGAAGATTATGGGAGCCAGCGGTTCCCATCAGTCAGGGGATTCATATAAATTCATATAAATTCATATAAATTCTACCCGGGGGTGCAGTTGTGGTTATTCAATGCTATTAATGGATATAACTATAACGTTCTTCACCCCAAAAGTTAGGATATGACTAAACCCTATAACTATGGTGTTTCAATGTGTTTCATCTATCCTGGTTGGTGGTTTCAATCCCTCTGAAAAAATATTAGTCAATGGGAACGACTATCCCATATATCATGGAAAATATAAAATGTTTGAAACCACCAACCAGTATCCACTTAGTTCACCTTGTTGTGCCCGGACCTTGGCCAGGCATCTGGGCCCGGAAAGTAGACGCCCAGAAACTCCCGGCGATACGCCGGACGCCCCGTGGCTCCCCGCAGCTGTTGCTGCTGCGACCGCGGCCGCACCGAGATGCCACCGTAGTCGTAGAGGTGGAGCGGGGAGGGGGGACGATACGCGTGGAGGACCTTGCTGCGAACATGGGGGCTAAGTATCACGTGGATCCATGTGGATACAACACGATCAACAATGGAAAAACACTGGGTACAACAACGGATGCAAAAATGGATAAACAAAAATTATTTGACATAATCAAATGTAAGTAGTGAATGTTAATGTTAATGGGATCTATGGTGATGTAAACTACGCACAAAATGGTACAGCGACTGGCAACCAATTACTAGGTGGGACGATTCTCCATGTAATGCGGCAAACCCAAAGGCCTACACAGGTCCTAATGGCTTACCAGAAATGGAATTGTTTAGTTGACCATTCCAAACAGGAGGTCTAATATCCGGCTTACCATATTGTGATATCATGGGGCTATAGCTGAAGTCAACATTCAATACACACAGTGTGTAATTTGGTTTTGTTGTTCTTATTTTTTTTTACGAGGTTCTTTTTTTCCAGAAAATAGTCTCAGGATGGAACAGAAACACGCCCTTTATGATGTCCCCGAGTGAGGAAAATGGGATAGGTGATAGGGCCAATGATGTGCTTTGGAGTACAACCACCACCAACCAATAACTCAACAGCTAGTCAGTACTCGCAGGGAAATTATCAGCAACCAGGGGGTGTACTATCTAACATATTGTAAACATGCGTAAACACCATCAATCAAAGAACCTCCACTCGGGGGTCGGTTTATGGTACCATGTCCTATCATTTTCCCATTGGTTGACTGCAAGTTGTGGAAGGCTTCCCCTTCTGTCATCCCCGGTTGCCATGCCGGCCACTTCGTAGGTGATAAATGATTCATAATCATAATAATGCTAATTCGTGATATATGTTGCATTTTGCTATGGTATAGATCGCCCACGCGTTCCGTGACTTACCTATTAAATCCTATTAATTAAACATATCTATATAAACATTGTGATTTCCAATTCTCTGCTGAATGACCCGAGGGCAACCCCGATTAAGCTCAAGAAACCAGTGAGTGTAACCTTCATTGTACAACTACCAGCCACATTCGGGGTCTCTGCTCCACTTTCATGCATGACCTTGGGAATCCTTGGACACGATCTTGGGCTATGACGATGATGTTGTGGATTTCCTATTGCTGCAGCAGGACCTATCAACCCAACTCGGTGAAGACTTGGAGAATGGTCATCTTTTACATAGTTTTACATTGGATATGCTGCACACATTGAATTCTTAGCGGGTCTATTTTGTCCGGCAAAAATGGAGCCATAGAAGCCCAGCATAGCCCAGTCCAACTTCTTCCAACTTCTTCCAACTTCTTTCAACTTCACCATACTTCTCAGCCACAGCCACTTCAGATCGGTCCAAGTATGCTCTGGATGCCAAGGTTGACTCAGATCGACTATTGCGGATGAGGTTGGTGGTGGCACTCCTGGAGCCGTCAGCTCACTGAAGGTTTGGGAGATGGCAAAGGGGCGCAAATATATGGCCTGGATGTTCAACTTATGCTTGGCAGCAAACGCATTGAACACGTCAGTGAATTGAGTTTGCTTCAAGTCAATAAGCACCGTAAGACATGTTTTTTCCAAAACATGTATCAAGAAATACCACCATTGGACCGAGGTGTCCAGTCGAGGGTTGGTTGTTTATTCTGACCCGGAGTGCAATGGAATGTTTTCCCCGAACCAACTGGCAGTATAAACTCGGCCAACGCTCAAATGCGACAATTTTGTGGTGAGGGCACCCTCATAGCATACCCCCCAGAAGTCGCGGGATGGAAGCGAAAAAGGAAAATCAATGCAAAACAATGCGGCAAAAACATGCAACAACAATTACTTTACTTCGTGTGATCCCCACCATGACATTTATACATTTTCTTACTGGCAAATCTTCTGGCATTCTATCTGACATATCTTCTGACATTCTATTTGACATTCTATCTGGCATATCTTCTGGCATATGATCTGGCATATCTTCTGGCGTATCTTCTGGCATTCTATCTGGCAAATCTTCTGGCATTCTATCTGGCATATCTTCTGGCACTCTATCTGACATATCTTCTGGCATTCTATCTGGCATATCTTCTGGCATATATTCTGACATATCTTCTGGCATTCTATCTGACATATCTCCTGGCATATATTCTGACATATCTTCTGGCATATCTTCTGGCATATCTTCTGGCATATCTATCTGGCATATCTTCTGGCATATTTTCTGGCATTCTATCTGGCAAATCTTCTGGCATTCTATCGGCATTCTATCTGGCATATCTTCTGGCATATTATCTGGCATTCTATCTGGCATATATTCTGACATATCTTCTGGCATTCTATCTGGCATATCTTCTGACATTCTTTCTGACATTCTTTCTAACTTTCTTCTGCACATTCTTTGTCCCATATCTTCCTACATGAGGTCCGGCAGGGAACACTTGGCGTGGATACTAGCGGTTGAGGTCCGGCAGGGAACACTGGGCGCGGATGGTCGCGGTTGAGGTCCGGCAGGGAACACTGGGCGCGGATGGTCGCGGTTGAGGTCCGGCAGGGAACACTGGGCGCGGATGGCCGTGGTTGAGGTCCGGCAGGGAACACTGGGCGCGGATGGTCGTGGTTGAGGTCCGGCAGGGAACACTGGGCGCGGATGGTCGTGGTTGAGGTCCGGCAGGGAACACTGGGCGTGGATGGGCGTGGTTGAGGTCCGGCAGCGAACACTGTGGATCGCGGGTCGCAGTTGAGCAAGGACGACGAGGACGACGAGGAGGACGAGGAGGAGGAGGAGAGGAGGAGGAGGAGCAGGAGGAGGAGCAGGAGGAGGAGCAGGAGGAGGAGGAGGCAACTGACATAAAATCTAACAACCCTCACCTGGCAGGTGGGGAATAAAACAGTTCGGTTGGGGGATGGCTGAAATACAATTTCTGGTGCCCTCTGGTTATTTCACATCGCCATGGAAAATCACAATTTTTAAGAACGGTAAGCCATCTATTTCTATGGGCCATTTCCCATGGCTATGTTCGTCATAACCAGAGGGTAAAATTAAGGGTGGTAAAAATCATTGTGCCTCTTTCACCGTTGGAACCCGGAAGGTTGGTCAGTTAAAAATGTCCAGGAACTGACCCCTGGGCGTGTAGTTCAACTCTCCAGGCTCCCCCGTTGATTTTCCCAAACGAACTTACTGTAGCGCGGAATGGGATGATTAGGGAAGAGGGTATAATAAAGGAATGGGATGATTGCGAAAATAGTTTTACTGTATATGATTGTATCTGCATCATTAGCCATTCCCCCATTCCCATCCCTTCACCAACAAGTTTTCCCTAAGCCAGTCAGGCTGAGACAAGGTGCTTGACACTACTCGTCTCACTACTATTCTCCGCCAATGTGGCTGCAAGCTGACCTCAGCTTCCCCCAACAAGTCTTTACTTCGGACCCATGGGACACATGTCGCAACCCTGACAACTATCTTGATATTTGATTCGCCTTAGGTCTCTTTAAAGTCTCTAGTTCTCTTAAGTTCTCTTAAGTCTGGTGCACTTCCTGAAATTTCGATTTGGAACCACAAGACGCACAACACAGATCCTTTCAACTCTCAACTTTGTTTGGTTGTGGCTCTCCATTGGAATTTAAAGACGTTGAGCAAATTTCCACCTCTTAAGTTTCATGATATAGAACCTATATCTAGAAAGGTGAGCTCAACACACCCAGCACAAGCAAAAGAGGTGGGTATCCAGCTGCCTGGCTCGGGCTGATCTGTCAGCATACGCTTCACCCAACATCAAACCCCAAACCAAAAACATCCAAAATGGCAAAATTCCCTCGCGATTGCTGAAACCTTCTCCAAGGACCTTCTCCCTCTGGTACTCAAACACAGCAAACGAAAAATTCCCTATATACTTTAAAGATGTACATAAACAATCGAACCATATCGAAACAGCGTTTGTTAGAGGATATTGTGAACATTTTCCAAGTTTTTCCATTTCAGGTACGGTATACACGTCACGACTGAAATTTTCGATCAGCAACGTTCCATCTGAACCGCTCTAGCGCGGGACCAGCCCTCAGAAAGGCGGACCAACTCCGCTTCTTCTTCCGCTTCTTCCCGCGCTGTTTTCTCCTCGAGGGTGGGCTTGGATGGGCCATAGCTACAGTTGAGGTAAGACGTGGATAATTTATACATACTGTGGATGGAAGAAATCCTGCTTCACCTTGGATGGTTGAAACCCTAAAAATAATGGGATGTTTACCACCTATCAACTGGTGCAGGATTTCTTCCATCCACCGTATCATATAAGCTCCAGATTCATCAGGGCTGATGGGAAAAGACCCCGACTCATAAGAGGGCTTATTCTTGGGGGGTTACCTTTGGAAGGGCCCCTTGGCATTCCCAGAATCATTTTCAATTGTGTTGGTTGGTGATCCACCAGGCCCCCCAAAGAATTATTGAAGGCCCTTTTTTGGATCAAATTGTCATGATTATATTGGGTTGGATGTAGAAAATGTTCAGCACATAGAGGCAAAGGGATGGCAAAGGGTGTGGCATGGGGTAGTACAGAACGGGAAATGTGGAGAACTTGGGGTAGGAGCACAACAAGTCTCCATGGCACGCCGTTTTTTTTCCTCCTCCAATCAGTCCAAGAATTGAACTTG